GAACAGTAGGTCCTCATGACTATGTGGTTCGCCCCGTCTGCTGTTCATCACACGAAAGTTTGTAATAAAAAAAGATAAATATGAAATCAGAAAGGAGCAAGTACATGTTTTTCGCGAGAAACGTCACACAACAGAGACAGATTAGAATCACGGTAATAACAGTCGCAAACCTTAGCCTGGCGGCAGTGCAATCTCATCCGTCGATGACGGGTGCGGCTTAGCGCTGAGTTGTATTCATGCAAAAATCAGGTATTCCTTGTCTAATCCTCGATACTGCGTAGCTGAACGGAGCTCAATGGTTTTAAAAGCATGTGACTGATGGTTTTGGCGTTTCAAATACCATCACGAAATTTGCGATTACACGATAATTTAATTTATAGTGACTGTGGGTGACCTAAGCACACAATTGAATTTAGCGCACCCAGGAAGTTCTAACGGTTCCAGAGTGTCAACTGCGAGGAAACCATGTTAGACATCAAATTGTGAGAATCTTAAACTTAACGTTGAGCCTGACCAAAAGGGTTCCTTCACAGAATGACCACGTAGCCGGGGAGAGAGAGAGAGTGATATGGAAAACAGGCTCGACTTTATTTTTCCATGAAATACAGTCGTGGGTAATCGATGTCGCAAATTAATCATATATTGGACGGAAGTTTATGCGGTAGATTATTCTTCGTAATTATTTGTTACCTTATATATTTTTGAATGGATAAGAGTGTAAAACTACTATAAAAGAGTAAAAATCTGCGCAATAGGAAATCCCTACAAAAAACAGCTCCTATGCAAGGTTACATTTCGTTTGTTCCGTGTAGATGAGGATAGTTCTTAGAATTATTGATTAACCAGACATGCACATAATTTGTTCTTTGAGTGGCAACAAGTCTGGCGTATTTCCATAACACAGGTGTGCTCCGTGTAAACTGCTTGGACCTCGTTTGGAATCGGTGATGCAGTCACATATGAACTCGGTGCTTTTGGCCAAAGTTGATATCGACAAAAATGATGACCTTGCCGCAAAATACCGGGTAATATTCTTCTTTGTGCTCAATTGATCCGCTGGGTTGTGCTATTTGACTGTGTGTTATTTCTCTTCCCGTTCGAGGTCACTTACCTACTCCATCGATATGGTTGTGGAAAGCTGCTGTTAGCTGTACGAGGGCATTTCAAATGATAAATCCGATAGAGCTATACCGTACGACGCGCTCTTCCCGAAGCGATTCACAGGCACTGGAAGCAGAATGTTATGACTCAAATTTGAGCAGTATGGCACGACGAGAAAGTTGAATCAACAACAAGCTCGTCAGACCGCAGATTAGGTTGAAACTATTCTTTGGAAAGTTGAACTTTCAACGTTCAACACAGTGTGTGTTGGGAATCAACTTGATCAAGCACGGACTATGTTGAATTTCAAGACATTCACTGACATCTGCTTGGCACTAGACTGGTGAATTCCGACAATACTCGGCTGTTTAATTCCAAATCTATTTCTATCATCATCATCATCGTGCAGCGAAATACGGGGAAGCGAACTTTAGTGATCGCTGCCAAACTCGCAAGGCATATGCATTGGAGTTTGATGGACGGGTACTGCTAGGGTGTCCAGCCACTGAGCAGGAGAACGATTAGGGTTTGCAACCAAAGCCTTTGGTTCTGTCAAGACCCTAGCCGCCAGGCAACGAATGAAGCGAAGTGGAGGCCCATTTACTTCAGTCACTCCACCATATTTTACCAACTGAAATGCCAATTGTGGTCAAACCCCCAACCTGGAGGGCCAGGAGACTGGACTTCGTTCCACCTCTACCCTTCTACCTTCTAGGCATGATAAGATCTCTTAGCTTGACAAAAGCTATCCTGTGCAGTTCGTTGGGTCAGAGAGGTGCACAAGCCATCAAACCACGTCAAGGTGCAGTCTTGTCGTATTCATAAACCTTCAATTTTAATAGATGTTTTCAAAATGCGATATGCCTGAATCCATTGCAATTCTCCAATATTTTTTTAACATTTAAATACTATCAGCTTTTCTGATGCTTGTTTTGTGCCCAATGAGTCCTTGTATAAAGTTATTTTGTCACTGAGAAAAGCACTATACCGGGTATAGCAATCCTGTGTGTTTGCGTGCATCCCACTTATTCCGTCGAACGGTGGTGATACTCATTGAATTTTGGCCGTTTAGAACTCGGATTATGTTGAGTCAGCTGTTTTTTACCTCTGTAATCGAAGTTACGCCTTCTTTTAAAGGTGTGTTTTTGTATTTCAACACGTAACCAATTACACAGAACTGGCAAATGTGCCACAACATGTAAACAAAAATCTGTAGAGTGTGTTCATAAGTTGTGTGGGCATGTTACATCCGGGTTGCCCTGACCAAAGAAGGGGCATAACCTCGGGGTCCCCACCCGAAGCCTTTGGTTAGAAAGCCAGAACTGCAAGTCAAGAGGACGGAGCTCAGAGCCCACAGTCCATTGAGGACCGGTGTCCAGTTCATCGGATCATACACCCTTTGGACGGGGTTAAACGTCCGAAGTGCCCAATACACCTTGATGCCCAATCGAGCCGGTGACCACTGCCGAAACCAGGAAGTTGTGTGTGTGGTTCATACGCCTCCTCATGATTGGTTTGGAATCAGGGATTTTGGCGCAACGCCCCTTGGTGAATTGCCAGTGGTCCACCAACCCGGTTATAGCCCCGGATATCGGCTTTTCGTCCTCTCACTTTGGTGGGAAAACACCGCCACGAGAAGGTAGTGAGTAGGGTCTTCTCAGCAGAAGCTATTCGAGACGCTCAGTGGTATGAGAGCATTTCGCGAGGCGCAAGGGAAGGGTGACCAGCCGCAATCCTGGTCAGTCATTCCCGACCATAATGAGGCTTTTACTGGCTTCATCGGAGAAACCGGATTGTCGTCAAGCTTGGAGCGTGGAGCGTTCTCATATACAAATGCAAGGCATGTACTATGATGCCTATATTCACGCTCACCGTCTCCAATCACGGAAGCTCGTCCGTGAATGGCTGATATTGGTCAACTCAGAGACCGGGTACAGTTTCTCTGTACTAAGAAACCATTGCGGGGACGGAAAACTAGTAGGTGAACGGTTCTAAAACCGAACCAAATGTGCATTGTATGGGCTGGAAGAACAAACAGTCTAAGACATTTTTGCATCACGGTGCGTGTGATAGGACATTAACGAAGTCTGCCAAATATATTGGGTGGATCGTGAAAATAATTTGTTTCACAGGTTAGGACGTGGTGCAAAATGTGTGGGATGATTTATATTTCACGCGTTTATCGACTTGTCAGTTGCTGTCCTCGTTCCTATTTGCACAATCATCCACTTTCGCGAAGCATTAAGTCTAATTACGGGTAGCCCAAGAATATACACACTGTTGTGATATCCAGTTCTGTGAGAATAAAATGGGTCGACAGCATCTTTTGTTATCTGGCGTTCCTTATCTTATAATTCTTCCTCTAATTATCGTCCCCTCCATTATCCTGTTACAGATATCCGCCGTACCCACCGTAATTGCAATGAAAAATGGTGAAGAAGTGAACCGGTTCACTGGACTAAAAGAAAAGGAGTTTATCGAAAAAATGATCGCATCTCTGGGTTCTTAACTTGTACAGTTATTCATCAGAAGTTAATTTGCAATATTCGTTGTAATGAATTAGTAACTGTAGAAGCTGCTTCCTTATTTTCGCAATCGACTGTTATCGATCTACATTTTTTGGTTTCACGTTTGACCCATCCTATTGTGGTAACACTGCGCCAATGAGACACGCCATTGGCATAGATTCAACATCCCAGATAAAGTGTTGCTGTAGCCACGAGTGTGAGGACGGTTCCGCATTAACTTACTTCCCTGACGAATGTTCGAAACTCTACTCTGGTTACTTCGACGTGATAACTTTTGTCACTCACATCCGAGTGTTATTTTGACACGCGTTATGTCATAAGAAGTGCCATATGTAGCGGTACTCGATCTCCGTGGATGCATTCATCAAAATTGACTCCCGAGACTTATTCCTCAGAGAGCTGTGCTACGCAGTTGTTCACCCTTTAGATAGAGTTGCGTGTTGTACAATACTGACCATAGGCATTTTCTTGACAGCAAGAAAACAGTGAACCTATAGGGAAGCAGAAAATAACAGTAGAAACACGGTGTAATCGTCGACCGGCTAAAGAGAAGAAAATACTTAAAGTGGTCCATTATAGAGATAGCATAATCTGAGTTAAGAAAACTATTCAACATGCAATGTTCACGTGACACGTACCTCGGTTCTGAGGAACTATCACTTAGTCTGAAACGGCTCAAGATATGCAATGTTGCAAGCTCCCTCCAACTGCACTGGTTGCTCAACTTTACGTCGACAATGCAGATTACGCAGCGCCCGTCGTCTTTGGACACTTCCGGTTGTTTCTTAAACGGCAATCGACTCTGTGATGACGATGGGATCTGCATACGCGCGGTTAGATGACCGGATAACTTATACGACCCAGTTGACCTTAGTCACGATTTAATGAATGAGGACTCCAACTGCGTTTTGTGAATTATAGCCAGTTGTTCATGGTAGTGGATAGGTTTGTATTTGTATAATTTATGCAAGCTAGGATATGCTTACATTTCAGTTGAAAATTGCACACCGGATAAAATATAGAAGTATAAACAAATTCAATGGAGTGCTGTGTAAAAAAATAAATGTATCTAAAGTTTAATTCATTCAATTAAAGACTGACGTAATTCATTTATAACTCGTTCCTTGTTGGTCAAGTTGCGAGCCAGATACGGTACAGTGGAGATTTTATAAATGCTTATTCGGGTGGGTAGGTACCGATAAGAGGAACGATTGATCGAGGGGGAGCGACAACAAGAAAAGTCAAAATGCAAAGGACAGGTGGGGTCATTCGGAATCTTTTTGACAAAGATCATACAAGACTTCATATAACCTTTAATAAGTTCTCTGATTAATGACTCGGCAGAAATTAAAGATGCACGGCTTATTATCGTTAATCCACGATGGACAGTTTTAACGTCTGGTTTTGATAGACCGGAAAGCATTAAAGTAAAATAGGGAGTACGCATTGTTTAACAAAAGAAAACAAAGCTTGTTGGGGAGTGCGAAAATGTCTGAGCTTTCGGAGCTGAATGGAGAAGCGCCGAAGTTTTCACATAGAGTTCTGAATGTGTCGACCACCAAAGATTATTATCGATGGTAACACCCAAATATTTGGCTGAGGTCACTCTAGACGAAATGTTACTATTAAGGGTTACAGATTCTGACGGGGAAGTAGAATGAGAAGAGCTAAAAATGCACTCCAAGCACTTGGATGTGTTAAGATTAAGGCCAAACTGGTTTGAAAACTGTTCGATTCGGGACAGATTTTCAGTGAAGGAAGAATATTCCAAAGACGAAGAAACGGTCTGACATAAGGCGACATCGTCAGCATACTTTTGGAGATGAGCAGGGTGTGGAATCGAGAGATCACTAATGAAAGCCGAGAAAATATACAGAGAGAGGACAGCACCTTGAAGCACACCAGAATTATTGACTGGAGGACTTGAGGTATTCCTGCCTAGCTTTATGCACTGGGTTCTTTCGGTGAAATAATCAGAAAGCCATGAAAGCAGCTGTCTCGGAGTGCCGAAAGATTCAAGCTTAAAAAGGAGGGATGACCGGGATACAGAATCAAAAGCAGACGAATATTCGAGAAAAACGCAACGAACAGTTCGACAAGGCAACAGAAGGATAGTCAGTTCAAATCAATGAAATGAAATCATTGCGTGCTCTCCTCACAATTTTAATATTCGAAACAGAAATTCGGTTGACTACGTAACTCAGTACGTTTACATTGTTCTAATTCAGTGTGGCCATTTTCATTACTAGTTTTCTCGTTTTCGATCCATTTTGATAAACTTACAAAGTGTGTTTAGCTAGTTCAGGATCTACAGAAACCAACTTGTATTCGTACGATCCATGAACGGGGAATCCTCAATGATTTCTGTTTTTTATAGAGGAACTGAATACGTACATGAACCTCCGCAGGCAACTGGCGATTGTGGGTATCACTGTGAATCCCGAATGTTTGAGTTATACTTCGAGTTTGCGAAACCTTACTGGAATATCTTTTCTTCATCGAAACGATATTTAACTTCCTAAATGTATCCTAAATCCCCAAGCTTTGAACGACCGGGTTTTCTCGTTTGATTGTCGCAATTCAACAAGGGGAAATTCGAACCATTGTATCATTTCACGGGGAAAGGATCTGCACGGCATTAGGCATACACCAATCAGTACGAATCACAACAATTTTTGAAGTTGCAAAAACAGATGGACATCGCGGATATTTGTCAGAGATTTTCGACCATTCCGGATTGGCATGGCCTTAATTCATCCATCCTCCATGTGACTAGATAAGACCGGGTCGAAATGCTTATCGTTTGAACCGCATTTTGC